TTGCAAATGTACAGAAGAAAGTGGTGGACGTTTTGAACATCTTTTGTAGTCAGGCAAAAGCTTGATGAATGTCTGAACAATGTGGAGTTGACTCTATGTTTCTATTTGCAGTAATAAAAAAGTCATGAATTTTTAAAATGCGTTCCTTTTTTGTGATTCACCCTGTATATCGATCGATCTATTTTTCAGTGGATAAAGGTCAGATTCCTTCAGGTCTTTCTGGCTCTTCCTTCAGGAGTACAGGACTAAATGAAAGCAATTCGAGGGGCAGACTTTCAAATTCGATTCCTCTTTTCAAGGGGTGTACATATCCGTCGGCGATTTCCCACAATTCGAACGAAGGTGACAAATGAATCGTGCGTCCCTTTGGGCCGCAACTTGAGCGCTCGACGAATGTCACGTCCGTGTCCAAATAAATGCTCGAAGAAACGACGCAGAACAGCTGGTTTCCCTGGTCAAAGCACGATTTCCTAAGACATTTCTCCGTCGAGTCTTCGAAAATGAGATTTGCCCCGTTATTGCAACCGTCCAGACCAGATTCGATCATTTATGGGCCCAGAAGCATGCGAACGTCGTTCTCATTAAATTACGCGAACGATAATCCGTTTCCAAGCTGTGACCTGGCCCTCGAAACGTTGCAATCCGTTTCCTATTTTTTCCACCATCGCATGAAAACAGCATCTGTGGGGTGAGTTCAATTTCTAGGTACTCCTCTCAGAAAGAAAGAGGGCGCGACAGCGAACCAGGGTCGCTAAGGGGGGGGGGGGGGGGGGGGGGGCGGGGCGCAGCATGAGAATCTCTTGGTTAGAGGCAGGTTAGAGGGCCGCGGGTGGTCGCGCAACACCCGTAGACTGGTTTCCGATTCTGTTGCTTACGTGCCTGGTGTGCGTTGCGAAATTGCGTATGGTCTTAAAAAATAGATTTAACCTCTTCAGACCCGATGGCAAAGTTGCCGATTTTGAAATCCTTTGGCTCGTTGCCTAAGCTCCGATGGTCAAAGCATGAAACCCAATGTTTTTATCCTTCTTGGTATCGGAGGAATAGAGTGGAATTCGTACATACCACCGGGTTTTCCTCCATAGAGGTGCGCCATTGACAATATTAATTTTTTTTTTTTTACCGTGACCGACTCACGGAAGCCAGTCGTCAAGGATCGTATTCGAAAATGTTTCTCGGCCTTGTCACTGTCATTGCACCAACAACAGGCTGGATGGCATTTCGGAAACACGGAAGCACCGCGAAGCACCCCACACTTCCCACCTCCACTCGCCAGGGAGTGGTCATTAATCCCCTGGGCCCTCCGTACTGTGGTTCTCACTTTTTCAAATACCCACTTGTTCACATACCGGGTATGTGAACAGCACCACAAGAAATGGTGAAGGAAGCAAGAGGCACTACCTGCAAATACCACGTATGTACCTCAAACAATCATGAGTGGTGGTTCGTCCCCTCCCCGGATCCGCCACTGTCCATATCTTCGTCTCCTTTCTGGTTTCTCTCTTCGATTTCGCCAGCCTGGTGCTGGAAGGGCTCCAACACCTGTCAGGTACGTCAATGCCACTGCATTCAAACCGACGAAGGAGTTCCGTATATTTGGATCCTGAAACGCAAATTTACTGGCGCAATGCCTCGTGGCATGTGTACATCCCATCTATGTTTTGACCTATCCCGTAAGAGCTCTATGATGAGTCAGATATCCCTTTATAAATAGTTTCACACACTATTTGGCAATGCAGTCCAACGTGTATCATAATTCTAGGGTCAATAATGAGCAATCGACAATGGTTTTTATGATCGCAGACGACGCGGGCGGCCATATTGAAAGAAGCGCCAAGTTCACAAGCCCCTGCTGTGATGCAAACCGAGTCCAATGAGGCGCATGTATTTTTTTTCGGGAACTCTCTTTAATTCTTCTATGGTTTACTATGTGATCCATGACATAGAAGGGATTTCAGCAGGAGTTTCAACGTTTTAGTGTTTGGCATGTGTATATGCCACAGGGTCTGAAGAGGTTAAAACACAAAGGGGGAGGGGGATGGGGGGTGGGCAATCGCTTCGCCCTGATGGCTCCAAAAAAAGAGGCTTAAAAAAAAATAATTACTCTGCCTTGCGTCCCCTTTTTTGCTGCTATTGGGGTGCCATGCATCCAGAGCACGATTAAGGCCCATTCCCATCGACAATAACTCGGTCGTAATCTTTGTCGACCCTCGGACATCCTCGCAAAGCCCACGATCCGCAAAAACGGGGGGCTCCCCACTCCCAACACCCGTCCGAGAAGCGATCAACGCGGTTTTTTTCCGAGCCGTATCCACGGGATCTTAGGTTACAATGTAAATCAATCGCCGGACACCAGAATAATTTGGGATCGACGAATGAGGGGGCTCGGCAGTTCCATTTCCTCATTCCCCCCCCCCTCCACTCGTCTCCCCTCCATCAGGGAGAGCCGAGGACACCAAGTTAATTGCGTGTTTTCATGATGGTAATAGGACGATACGAAGTCGAAATGGATATCCTCTCATCCTCCTCTCCCCCCCTCCTCCCGTCCTCCCGTCCTCCTATCCTCCTGTCGTCCTACAGAGTCGTCGGCCTCCCGATCGTGATTGCGGGTTCGGGGGATCCGGTTCCACTGCGTCTATTAGCGAAAGCGATACGCTCGTCCCGGCCTGGTTCCCTTCAACCGAACGATGACATCCGCGACTGGGCCAGATGTCATGGGGGAGAGGGGGGGGGGGGGAGATCTCGGTTCGGTCGCTGGCGTTGGGATGGGCCGAGTTGGTGGCGTTTTGCGGGGTGGGGTCGCTCGGGGTCGCTAAAAGGTAAAAAGGAAACGGCGGGGGAATGGGGAAAGAACGTATTGAAAATGTTCTGTCTGCTCTGGGCATCCCTTTTCCGTCGTTTCCTTTTTCAGAACAGTCAAGGTGATGCGAAATTAAGCATGATCTCCCTTGTAAATAAAATGTATGTACATATTTTATATATATAATAATTATAATATGATGTTGATAATACTAAATACAAATAATATATTAATAAAATCACGTGAATAGAATAATAAAGTTATTTGTCGATGCCCGTGCCACACTTCTTCCGGTATCGAGCATTATTTCGAACGAAATCACGACACCAAAGAGAGAAAACTAATCCTCGAGAAAACGTAACTCAAAAGGATAAACCGCGAGGAACCTAATTTCCGCGGGAATAACTGTCCCCCTCCGCTTACCGAAATAGATTTCTGCACGTTCCGTCGAACGGAAAATGGAATTTAGACGATTCCCTCTTGAGGTGTCACGGTCTTTCGGGGACGGAATTCTCGAGGAAAATCACTCGTAGGAATTCGGGTCGAGAATTCTCGCCGTGGCAACAGGGGAATTTCGTCCTTGCTTTCTTTGTTGTCCGATCGATCTTGGATCGAGTCGGTTTAGAGAATAGAAAAATCAACTTCCGGCTGCAACGGAGGTCTTCGGATTCCTCCCGCTTCGTCAATAGGCCTATTGGCTCTCGTGCTAATTTCAAATCGAGGGAGATATAGCTTCACCTCCTTCGATGTTCCGCAGAAGTAGAATTGCACAATGTAAAAGGTGGTACGAAGTCGTTTGCAAGTCGATATATGGCGGCTGAGGGCGGGTATGCAGGGTAACTGATGTGGACGACATCTGTTGGAGAAATAATGAAAAACGAGTTCGCTGTTCATCCGGGAGAGTGCAGGATGGATGGAGGATGTCCATGTCAGTTCGGGACTGCTCCGGGCATTCTGCGATCGCGAATTTTTCTGTAGGGTTGCGAACAGGAAAGTAGGTATCACCGCTGCTTTTCCGACATCGACGCGTCCTTTCGCGAATTTTCGACTTGTGAGAAGGAGGCGAGTGTTTCACATGGGATCGGGGAAAATTGTAGGCCGTAAAGAACGCGCTCGGGTCGCGGTCGTTTTGGGTCGTCGCGGACACTGAGACAAAGGGGGAATGCAATGCGATAAAAAAAAAATGGAAGCCAGTGAGGCCACTCTTTAGCTTCTGCGTGAAGAAAGACCCTGTTTATGAACCTGAACTGATGTTGCAACCAACCGAAGGTGGTCGATGAGTAAGCCTGCATTGTCTTTTTTTTCCCCCTTCGGCAAGACGGGTCCAGCAACGAGCTGGGGCTGACGCCACAATAACTATAGTTTTCTTCCTTTTCATGAGGAATAAGGGCATCCACTTCCCTCGGCAGCTCATTACTGAACCAGTTTCCTGAATTGAACATATTTTTCTTTTTAGCCCGTCAACAAATGTTGCCATAACTCGGAGATTTGATGATTCATTGAGAATTCAATAAACAGGGTGGGCCATAAATATTCTTACCTAATCAAGGTCTCGTGCTTCCTGTGTTAATAATTTCTGTGAAACTAAACTGAATCTCGAGGCACAAAGACTCACTGCGACTATTCACAAAATACTTTCAATCTACTTCTCGATGGCAATCAATCATCTTCGAGTCTGCCGGTGGAATACATTGGAGGGACGTGGTTTCCCTCCTCTTGCAGTCCCAGCCTTGATTCAGGTCGCTCCTAGTAGGCTACTTCCAGCAGGCTCCACATAAAATATTATTGCAGTCATAACTGTAAGGGGGCCATTTATGGTTTTTAAAATAATCTTTCCAACACGATCTGCGATACAGGTTTTGGTGCGCCAGTCTTTCTCATAGGAGCCCCATCGAAGCACCCAATATTGGCCACAAAAGAGACGCTGAAATAAGTACCACACAGTTCTTTGGTTTTCTTGGACATGCAGAAATAGAAGTTATATATGTGGAATGAATAATTATGACCACCCTGTATTCCTATTTCAAAGATAGTCTAGCTTCCATAAAGGGAGCTATGACTCCTGAGTCATTGCACTCAGTGAGTCAATTTAAATTTTCTCATGAAAGAGTCCAGACAGAAGCACAGTAGGTAGATTATCAGGGCTGCTTCACAGCATCCCCTCCCTGATGTCAAATTTCCACCCTTAAAAAAAAAACACAAGTTATGCTCATGCTAAAAGATTTTTATTTCATATGGTAATACACTCATGAAGGAGATTCATGTTGTAATACACACATGAAATGAAACAAAGCATAAGAAAAATATAAAAAGCGAAATCTGAACAAGTAGGACTCGAAGGGATGGAAGGGAATTTGAAAAAGAAGGTTGGAAGGTGCTGGAGTGCAGAAGAAACCGATCAAATAGGATGTCATGGACCGTCGTCAACAATTAGTATTCCTCGCCGGCCTCTTCGCCTTCCTCGGTGGAATCCACACCGACCTCTTCGTAGTCCTTCTCCAGGGCGGCAAGATCTTCCCGAGCCTCAGAGAACTCTCCCTCTTCCATCCCCTCTCCCACATACCAGTGGACGAAAGCCCTCTTGGCGTACATGAGATCAAATTTGTGATCCAATCTTGCCCAGGCCTCAGCGATGGCGGTCGTGTTGCTCAACATGCATACAGCCCTCTGCACCTTGGCCAGATCTCCACCAGGGACAACAGTTGGGGGTTGGTAGTTGATGCCAACCTTGAATCCAGTTGGGCACCAGTCCACGAACTGGATCGTTCTCTTGGTCTTGATTGCAGCAATGGCAGCATTCACATCCTTCGGGACCACATCTCCTCGGTACAGCATGCAGCACGCCATGTACTTTCCTAAAACAGAAATGGAACTTTCTGTAACACATTCACAATATATCCCAAGAAATGTATGATAACAGATCATTTAGACCAGAAGGGAGAGATAATTTTATTGTGGCATGGAAGAAGAAAATGAACACATTCCTCCTTTTTTTGGAATGAAGTCCAAAAGAGGGCAATAATTTGCATTGGGTACCTCTAAACAATGAATCAAACCATAGGACACAAATTGACCATCATCCTCTCAGGAAGTTCATAAAAAAAATGTGAAAACCTCAACAAAAAAAAGAAGGGGGGGGGGGATTAATGTGGAAAATGACTAAGTGTTATTTATTCTAACTCGTGTACTTCATTGCTGCCATGATGACCCTTTCCAAATCGTCATGAGCAATCTTACCATGTCTAGGGTCACACTTGACCATCTGATTTGCTGGTTCAAAGCAGGCATTGGTGATTTCAGAGACAGAGAGCTGCTCATGGTAGGCCTTCTCTGCTGAGATGATGGGAGCATAAGTGGCCAGGGGGAAATGAATTCGGGGATATGGGACCAAATTGGTCTGGAACTCTGTCAGATCCACATTCAGGGCTCCATCGAAACGAAGAGAAGCTGTGATGCTGGACACGACCTGAGCAATCAGTCTGTTCAGGTTGGTATAGCTGGGGCGCTCGATGTCCAGGTTCCTTCGGCAGATGTCATAGATTGCTTCATTGTCCACCATGAAAGCGCAGTCAGAGTGTTCCAGAGTTGTGTGAGTGGTCAGGATGGAATTGTATGGCTCCACAACAGCTGTGGCAACCTGCAAATGCATTATATTGTAAAGCCAAACATAAAAACTATAGTCTCCACAAAGAAAACTGATTTAAAAAAAAAACATGCTGAACTGACCTGGGGGGCAGGATAGATAGAAAACTCCAGCTTGGACTTCTTGCCATAGTCAACAGAGAGACGTTCCATGAGGAGGGAGGTGAACCCAGACCCGGTTCCTCCACCGAAGGAATGGAAGATGAGGAAACCCTGAAGACCAGTGCACTGATCAGCCAACTTGCGAACTCGGTCCAGGACGAGATCCACGATCTCCTTGCCGATGGTGTAATGGCCCCTGGCATAGTTGTTGGCTGCATCTTCCTTGCCTGTGATGAGCTGCTCTGGATGGAAGAGTTGACGGTAGGTGCCAGTGCGCACCTCATCCACAACCGTGGGTTCCAGGTCTACAAAGACAGCCCGAGGGACGTGCTTTCCAGCCCCGGTCTCGCTGAAAAAGGTGTTGAAGGAATCATCTCCTCCTCCCAGGGTCTTGTCCGAGGGCATCTGACCGTCAGGCTGGATCCCATGCTCCAGGCAGTACAACTCCCAGCAGGCATTGCCGATCTGCACTCCGGCTTGTCCAACGTGGATGGAGATGCACTCACGCTGCAAGACACCAATAACAAGACTTCAGGTGATCAGCTCCTTTGGGCAAAAACCGCCACCCCATCTTGGATTTGGCAACTACCTCATCCTACAATTCTATTCAATGTTTAGCTCAATCCTAATCTNCACCCCATCTTGGATTTGGCAACTACCTCATCCTACAATTCTATTCAATGTTTAGCTCAATCCTAATCTAAAATTTAATTAGGCCATGACTCATCATGTACCATGACTCACCATGTGACTCACTTGCCTTCACATCAAATATAATCCAGAATTCCAATGCTGGAAAAAGCACTGCCAGACCTCGCTTTATTTATGCAAAGCAAGAGGAAAATAGGAGCAAAAATTTACTCAAAGCGTCAAAAAGCGAGTTAGATAAGTTGTAGAAAAAAAAGGGTAATGTTTGATTACATTTAAATTTAGAGTACTCTGGTTGAAAAAGCGTAGAATGGCAAGTCTGGGTCGAGGAAAAATGGTTGGCCTATAAAAAAAAAAACTTTAGCCTTTGCATACCTTTACCTAAATACATGTGGGCCAAGGCTACAATGCCCTCTTGTACGGCCTAGGCCGAAGGCGAGGAAGAAAAAGTCTGTTGAATCTAGGCTTGGAAATAGCCTTACCGTTACGCCACTTTAGCAAAAAGTCTTACCATTTTGTTCTGAGTATCGTCGACTAGGGGAAAAACTTTGGAAAGTTGGTGAGATTTGAGTAAGAAGGGAAGACGTTCTCCAGATGAACTAGCAACGCACGCTCAAAGGAGACACGATCGCCTGTGGATGACGTTTCGCAAGGCCGGTTTGACGGTTGGCCACGCCGCGGAGCAATCCACCGCTTCGCTTCCTGTCGTTACCCACATATAGTTCCATTTCATTTCGTTGATTCTGCTCGAAAGCAGATTAGATTTATCCCTGAAAATATTGAAATTCGTGTAGACGTGGATTAGAATCACCCTCTGCGTCTCTAAAAGGACAGTATTGTAATATCCCCTGCATTTGCTGAAGGTCAACGGCCTACCGGATTGGCGGGCTCTGTACAGCTCCATCTGGGATAGTTTTGTCGATGATAATTGCACGAGGGGGAGAATGAGAAAAAAGTTGCCTTGTTTTGACATTGATTCTCGGAAAAACACCCCTTAATCGACGGAGACACGCAGTGTGAGTGCACAGCAGTGGCCTGCCGAAGATTTTTCTGCCAGATGGGTCTGTCCAGAACCACTGGCCAAGGTTTATGGTTGCGAAGCATGATGTAGCATGATACCTGTCCGAGCTGGCGCCATCTTTGATTAAAGCATAAACTACCTCCCTCTTGCCAGCTTCCATGCTGCTGGGGACAATACATTTCCCCTGGGAGAACGAATGATGACAAATATATGAAGTATACTTACGTTTGTGATTCTGTTGCAAATACCTACAGCCACATTTAGCCAAAGTACCAATTGATGCTATACGAGTGTGGCATACTACTCTGGCTCGAAGAAAAGAGTGGTTTTAGGTGCTATTAAGTTTTATTAACTAAAAAAAAAAAGAACAAGAAAAAAAAACTGTATAGTCCCTGTGAAACACCTGGGTTTCTGGGTCTGGTCACCCCAGACTATGGGGCTGAAACTCTCCTTCCCAGTGGATCAAACCTACAATATAGAGGTCTAGGCCCCGTTTCTTCACATTAGAGCACGGTTAAAAATCTTTGCCTCTTGTGTCACCAAAAGTAAAGCATTCCTCATTCATTTTCCCTGCTGCCATCGAATATAAAAATTCCTCATGGTGCCTAAGGGCGGCCTTACCTGTGAGCAAATGTCTTTGCTTTACCTTTCCAATGGCCCAATTCCAACTCACCGCGGCCCGCTCATCTAGGATGCAGTGGCGTGGCCAAGATCTTATTTTGGGTGGCTAGAGCGGTTGTAAAGAGGAGTATGAGGAGGGGGAAGGATGGCTCGGATAAGGTCCAGAAGAACTTTTCGTGGACATATCCCTTACATCCTGTTTCTTAGATGCTCATGACGATTTGGAAAGGGTCATCATGGCCGCAATGAAGTACACGAGTTAGAATAAATAACACTTAGTCATTTTCCACACTAATCCACCCACCCCAATGACAGGTGGGTCACCCAACCCAACTCCATGTATATACGTCTATTTATACGTTGGCCATTCCCCTGATGCACAGCGGGTATCGATCAAGTCCGAACCGTCAGCACGTGGAGGAGTGACTGGCCTGCATGTTGGAGCAGAAAACCTCCCATCTTCCCAAATGCATAGAAGCAGAACACGGAGACGGTCGAATCCGGGAGGAAGACCCTGGAAGTGCATGCACCTTCAGAGTTCCACGGAAAGAATTGGAGGGCCTCGCTGCCCTAGAAAAGGAAATCCTAGGGCGCGAAAAGGAGTGAAGAGCTTAACAGGCTTCGACACGCGTGTATACACTGAATCTTCGCATCGACGGGAGAGGGGCACACGAGTGACATTTCCTTCTATTCAAATGTAATGGATAATTAGTTTCGGAGGAAGAAAAACACAATTAAGGGGAACCTTAGGAAGAATTTCGACAGATGCATACAGATGCGACCCGAAAGCGCTTTATATGCATGACGTGCATCGAGTTCCTCTGCACTTTCGCTTTCACATAAACCTAGACTTGAGTCATGCGACACGCGTTGCATCGCCAACGCTTACAGCCAGCTCTGAAGAGGCGGATATGCGGTCGCACAAATGGATGGCTCGAAACAGGAGCACATCTGCCGTGATGCCACTTGCCAGGCAAGTGCCAGGTGCACTTGGCATGTGATACACTGCATTTGGCGTGCATGGATCCTGGTGCATACGCGCTAGCTTCAACGCTTGTCGGTCGAAAACATTTCGGGAGTGCTGAAAGTGGTGCAGGAAACGAAAATGATTTTCAAAGCGTTTGGAGGGAGTGCATCGCGTTCGTCGCAAAAATACTGATATGTGGCAGGAATCCGCAAGGCAATTTTCTGCATCGCTTGGGGTGCATCCGTCGTGACTCGCGGTTGAAACGCGGTCAACGGAGCAGCAATTGCTCTCATAAACCTGTGCCTCTTTTCGCACGCATCTGCGGAATTTTGCGGGCCCAAATGCACTCGACGATGCCGAGAATGGGATTACTCACATGGCGGCAATCGTTTCGATAGGAATTTGATGCCTTCAGATGAAGCCTGAATTTCGTTCGAATCGCTGGAAACCAGTTGTTAATATTAAAACGTAGTTTTAGGCGTATCTGCAGTGACTTTATTGCTTAAATGCACTCTTCGTTGAAGTAAGTGAATAATATATTTATCTATCAAGAATATGCAGGGTTGTGCAAAAGTTCCCGTACACTTTGAAAATATAATTTTTATCACTAATCAACGGATTTTTGGCGACTCTGATGTGTTTTTTTAAATTCTACGGAGTTTTTTGATACGAAATGTTATTATTATAAATTATTTTAATTGATTCATTTATCTTTCTCTGATTATTGAAAAGTTAAAGTTTTGATAAAACCTTAAACTCGGCTTGTTAGATAAATAATTATGTACATAGAACACCATGAAAAAAGTGTACGGGAACTTTTGCACAACCCTGTATATACAAGGCGATTATAAGTCGGTTGGTGGATGAACGACATTCTACAAACAGAACATAAACAATGCATCACATCTCAGGAAAAGTTTGGGAGTCACATTGAGTACTGCGGGAGTCGTATTGTGCACCCAACGAGGCATGCACTTCTTATGCGAAGTGCATGCCTCAGAAGGAACCCTGCAACGTCATGTATTCACGATGCTCAATGAGACCCCTACCGAGCTCCACAACTGCTCCGAACTAGTGTCCAACATTTCAGACTTCCGCAGCTCCCACCATTTCTCAGTAAATGGACTCCGCTTCTCGGCGGATGGTGTCCTTTAGTACTGATATCGATGTCAGATGCTGAGGGCAGTGGCTGTTAATTGAACATGGGCAGTTGCGTACGTTGCCATCGTTGGAGATCTGGGATAACGGACCATCATGTTTGATAGTGCACCACCGCTGATTGCAAATTTTGCGAAGAAATTGCTCACAAACTGTACTGTACACATTTTACGCCATTACTAGACATTTTTACATGCAGTAGCCTATCACCCAGATGACCGAATCAAAAACCCAGCCATCAAAATTTGTTGTGTTGAGGGTGTCTGAATTCATGAATGTCTCAGCAAACTGGCTTCGTTACGAGAACCGAAGGACGACGTTCACTGAGAGGTGGAGTCCATTCACTACGACGCGTTGAAAGCCGCGATCTGCAGATCGGACACCGGTATTGGGAGCTAGGGATAGTGTAGTGTTCTGTGTCTGAGGAGCAGACGACAGGACCAGCATCCAGTGTTGTTCAAAAGGAGTAATCCAGCTAATCAGAGGTTTTAAGGACAAGTTTTTATACCGTGCCTGCTTTTCACTGGAGGAATGATTTTATCATGCATGAACATTGATGAACATTCTAAGTGCTCCGAGTGAAGGTTCTTCCTTGCCTCACACAGCATCTGAACATTTATGCGACGGCAAGAAAGCAACCAGAGCCGGGGGTGTGTCGGCGGATCCCGTCTTCCGGTGTTGGCGGTTGGCTTGTCGTTGTGCGTGTGTGGTCTCTCGCTGGCTGGTGGACTCGTCTCTTGCTGGTTTGACACGACTTTTTCTGGATCGACACACGTCGCTTGCTGGCCTAAACGTGTCCCTTGCTGGGACACGTTTCGCCCTGTCCGAACTGCATCGCCTCTCATCTTTACAGCATATCGAGGTAAAGTGACGTTTCAAGAGAAAGGGAACTTCGGGTCGGGGTGCCACCTCATGTGATCCGGCACCAAGAGACTGGACACGCTATATGCTCAATGCCATCCCTAACACTGCAATAGGAGTTAGGAAACCTAAATCTGATGCACCGGGAAGAACCCTAGAAAAGTAGTACGCAAAGTACGACGGCAGTCGTTTCGACAGTCCCGAACATGATTATCGTGCATCATTGGCAGTGCATCTCTGCTCGTTTCATTGGTCAGCGTCGATGAACTCTACAGGCCATGGAATCGTTTGATGTGCAAATTTTCCGCCCTGATTGCAGCATATTGAGCGAGAAGGCGCTCCACGATGCCTCTGAAAACTGCAGAATATGAATGGCAAGGATAATTGCGAGAGCATTCATTCCGATAGTTATATCGGTTAAGGTACTATATCCTAGGCCAATGCAACTTGTTACTTTTGAATTGAATCGTATCACACATGAAAGAGAAGGTCTTGGGCTGTTACAAAGCATTACCGAATTTTGCTGTAGGTCAGTATAATCTGAGATAACTACGTGGACGTTACCTGTTTAACTGAGGACGCTCACACCGCTCCAAAGTCAAAGTATCGAGCCCCTAAGTGAATCCGTATTTCACGGAATCACTTAGGGGCTCGATACTTTGACTAACGTTTCATCAGCTCTTTTGGGTTTTCACTAAACCTAAGCGCACTCTAACCTCGGAGAACTATCGATAAACACATACCCCGGGAGCCGTATTCCTTCTATGTTTGGCCGAAAGAGTGAGAAAGTCGACCTATTTTATATTATTATATATATTATATATCATCCTCCGATGATGGGTTTTCTAACCCAACTGACCCATCATCTTTGACTTTGACTTTGGCCTTTGATACCGAACTGGTAGGAAAATCATTGGGCTCCAGGAAATGCGCCAATGCGAAGACTAGGCCCTTCTTGCACAACACTCCACTTAATTTTCTGGGGTAACATGGCGCTCTGCGCCTACTACAATCGACCAATATCGCAGCATCTTAATATCGTTCCTACTCCCTATAGAACCTATAGGTATAGAACCTGCTATTTCATAAATTCGGTAGCGCTTCACTCCAATACATGATCATCCCAGGCCAACGGAACTTAATTTTTAAAATACAATTTCTGCTTCATCTGATTGCTAAGTTCCGTTGGCCTGGGATATTGCACCTTAGCCGTTATATCTCCTTAGCCTCCAAGAGCTTCGGCTCGAAGGCATGGAAATTGCCCGAAATGCAGAACACCATCCAGCTGCATCCGCTTCGGAATTCCTCCTTCACAGTTGATATCTCCTCGATGAGGCGATAAGTACTTTTACACGGATGATTGAAAGTGCATACGACGGTCCGAAAACGATGGAGGGCACCACTAACCCGTGACCTATTGAGTACTTTCTTGGGTCCCAGGGCATGTACACTCTGCAGCGGGGTGTTCGCTCCCGATTCCCCCCAAGTGCAGACAAGGCTCCAGGGAATGCCTCAGTGCCATCGAGTGCCGTATATCCGAAACCTCTGGGATCACTTCACCTCAAAGGCATGGTGCGAATGCAATAAAGTCGGCGCTCGCTACTACGAAGTACGCTTTAACGAAAAATATATCATTTGGTTGGCCCCAGCATCTCCCAGTACAAATTATAAAACGTTTTAACGAATTACTATATTACGAAATATGCCTAGTAACGAAGTGATTTTTTTTTGTACCGATCGGGGAAAAAAACTTCTATAACGAAATCGCAAAAATTTCAAGCCAGTTCTGTCCCGTTACAAGCCGATAACGGAGCGGGAACATGGTTTTAATTGTAACAGGACACGTATTACCTTCACTCATGCGCAGAAGATCAATTAGTCACGCTCATACTTGCCAGTACTTGCCAGTTTTGTGGAGTTCATAGCCACGTGCGCCACGATATCAGCAAAAAAGCGCAAATGTTTAATCTTGGGAGAGGAAATGAAAATCATAAGCGCTGTTGAAAGGGGAAAGAAGAAGAAAGGTGACATCGCGAAGGACTTTGAGATAGCCCAGAGATAGTCTCAGCATCATCTTAAAAGACAGGGACAGGATTTTGAAGTCCTACAAAGATGGGAAAATGTCAAAATGCAAACGCCTGCGACCTGCCCGGTATGAAGACGTTGAGGAGGCTTTGTCTCAAAGACACCAGAGCGAAAACCATTCCAATCAGCGGCAGTGTTCTCCAAGAAAAAGCTCGAAACTTCGCCTTATTGTTGGGACACGAGGACTTTAATTTTAGCGATGGCTGGATCGGAAAGGTTAAACACCGACATGATGTCGCAAGCTATTATGTCGATGGCCGATGGCTTGCAGATAAGCAAGCGGAGAAGCAAGCCAGCGTTTCGGATATGCATTACTGTGCATAGAAATGGGTTGCAATAATGCAGTACAGTACAGTACAGTATTTTTTACTTTTAAATTTTTTATTTATTTATAATTTTCGTTATGACGTTTTAACGAAAATACTTTCTTGACAAAGGAAAAACGACCCCAGCCCCCTTGAATTTTGTTCAGCGACCGTCGACTGCAATCCCGACCTGGTTGGAACCAGCCGAGAAATGTCTTCTGCGGGGGGGGGGGGATCAAGGGGTCTGAATTCCCCCCAAACCCCTGCTCATGATGGTATCTCTCTACTTCTCCATCCCCCTCTCCCCCGAGGGTGGGGAAAGATATGATGTCTCTGAGCAAACGACCCGAGAGCGAGGCTGGAAAGGTACAAAGGCAGGAGGTGAAAAGGTGAAGGTCACGCCAGTCACATGTAGCAACTCACTTTAGTAAAGTGAACCTGTCAAGGAAACGTCCTGCGCGTGTGACGCTACTGAATTTTTTTTTATGAAAACGGAAGGATGACAATTCAAATAAGAGGCGTGAATCGTACAGGTTAATGAATTTCCAGTTGCACATTTGCCCAGTGATATTTGGGCTGAATCCCGAAATTAATTTAGTTCATTTTAGGCTTTTTTTTCTTCCAGATATCTAATGTGCTTTCATCATTTAGAGTTCAAATTCAGTTTCCATCATTTCATAACAATTTTCTTCATTTTCTTAATTCGTGTGTTCGCGCCGTTTCGCGTTTTTGTTGAGTATATCTTTCCCGATGATTTGATAACACCTTGCATTCGGATACATTTGAAAGACAGGTCGAGAACTTCGAACCCCCCAAACTTTAGGGCTGATTGCGCCACTGCCCCGTGTTCTAGGAATTACACCGAGCTGCAGAAAAACAGCACACGAGAACCCTGACAGAGCATCGAGTCTTCTAGGGGGTGAGATAGGATTTCCGTCTCGGTTCACATGCGTTGCAAAGCAGCTCTTGGCTTGTCGGGTTGCTAGGCTCTGTCGGACTTAATGGTAAGTTGAATGATTTAAATTGCACAGGGGGCTGAGTTCCTGAAGTCAATGGCAAACAGCATGAGCATATAAGGATCGAGAACAATTTTGGCGAAACCACGAAGCTTCAGACGAAGTTTCCATTCCCATGCGACATCCCTGCTTCCTCTCGGGCAGCAACATGGCGGCAGTCATTGGTGCGTATATGCCGCGACTTGCTTTTATGGTGCGGTGTTGCCTGGGTAATTTCATTTTAGCATATCGCATCTAATCCTATTCGCTCAAAATTTTAAATACGTGGGTAACCATATTGGTGTTCTCTGCCCATTAAAGAATATCATGCGGCACGTGTCAAAGTGTAAACCGAGGTTACGCCTACTCAGAATATTTTCGAACTTCCATTGTACAGTAGGGTGACCATATTTTTTTCAAAGGAAAATCCGAGATATTTTCCCTCCGTTTACGGTTGACAATAGGCCGATGAGCTGCTTGCTACAAATGAGTGGCACTGAAAGGAAAAATCGCTGGATAGTTTTCCGAGCAGGGCAGTACCTCAAAACCAGGGGCTGTTCCAAAGAAAACGCCCTGTCCCGGTTTTACCGGGACAATCTGGTCACCCTATTGTACAGGGTGGCCAAAAAGTCTGGAAACATAGGATCACATAAAGGATATATTAAGATGATGTATAAATAAACCAAAATAAATGTTCAAAATGTTCTCCTGTTGAATCAATACAGATTTGAAGGCAATGTTTTGAAGTGTTGATGAACCTGATTAAGTAAATTGGCATTTTCATTTATATCAGCAATTATCTTAGTATATCCTATGTTTCCAGGCTTTATGGCCTCCCTACAGATGTACACACATGAATAGCTGGGGCCATGTTAATTTCATGAACTAGTAATCATCTTTTTCATGTGGAAGAACATTATAGAACTTCTGGTGTAGAAGTGCAAGATATTTATATAATTCAAACTCACAACTCACAGAAAGATCCATGAAGGAAATCTTATACAGGAGGTAGTTTTAGCTTTAAATAATTAAAAGCCTTCATGTGCTTTTCTGTCACTTGGAGAGGTTATAATTGTCAATACTGATATTTGAGTCTGGGTGTCAATATGCTTACTTCCCCTGAACCAGTGATTGATCTATCCTAAATACCAAGGCTGCAATACCTGATTAGATGAATAAGCCCATGGGATTACAACAATAAGGTCATATATTATTCTGTAAACTTGGCTTTTTAGGTGAACAAATTCCTATATCAGCTTATGTTCTGAGTGGCTTTGTCCTTTTGTTGTACTGATTAGTGTGAGTGCGAAAAATAGTACTGATCAGTGACAGTTGAGATGAGCACCAAAGCACGTGCACCAGAACTGAAGAAGTTCATGGACAAGAGAGTCCAGCTTCACCTGAATGCTGGCAGGAGGATGACAGGGATCCTGAGAGGTTTTGACCCCTTCATGAATTTGGTGTTGGATGAAAGTGTGGAGGAAACTAGAGGGGAACGGAATCCCATTGGGATGGTTGTGGTGAGGGGCAACAGTGTTTCCCTTATGGAAGCCCTAGATAGAATTGGGTGATCCTGGGTGTTGCCTCTGCATTTCGTCTTTCTGATCTCTGCCACTTGGCACTTCATCAGTTTTCTCCTTTCAGAAGATGAGTACTCAAACTGACTCAAAATAAATCCTGCTTGAAAAAATAAGTAGGCCTTTTTTCCTTCTGGAGAAGTGGAGGGTCAGATAATCACACTTTGGTGGCAGGTACAGCAACACTGCCCCACTGCACCCCTATTTTCTTCACCCTTACCTTTACCCCTTACCCCTTCATTAGGGACTTTCCATAGTATTAATCCTGATGAGTGAGGTAACACACCAAAACAAAAATGAGTTGGCTTATTTGGGAATAAAAAGTTTCATCAAATAAATGAAGGCTTTGAAAGTTCTTCCCTCCAATATTTCATTTTTGCAAGAGGGAATTTCACTAGGCATCCGGTTCAAGTTGCAAGAAAAACAATCTCTAATGTTTTCTGTCTCCAATAAAGAATTATGTCTGGATTTATTTCATTTTTTGCTGAGAATAAGTTGTACAGATGAACATATCCTGTATATTACATTCTTGTGATAGTTGCTGGATGAAAATCACATATTGCAAGAAGCAAGCTGAAAATGATTTCAAATGTGGTCTCTCCTTGGCATATATACTCTTTTCAATGCTCAACCTCTTCCTCTGGTGTCTATTATTCCCAGTGGGAAGTTAGGTCTTCACATTCATTTTTATGTGGGTGTATATACATTTACACAATCTAAAATACTTACATGTGCACATGCACATATGTACACTTGAGATGGGACACAAAATTGCCCAGAAATGTAGGCCTGTATTATGTTCTGCTAAATGTGCAGATACCTTAGGAAAATATTCCTGCTGTGAGGAAGAGTTGCAGTGTCTTCAAATCCTGGAAAAACTTCAAAGAGGGAAACACTTCCTCCTCCACTCCGACACTCCATTGGCTTACCGTGGATGAGAATATAGATTCATTGGTTACAACACGCTTGTAAGCTAATGACCTGCAATAAAGGCAATATGACAGCCTGTGCATCTATTGTTCATAGAGCACTGCAAAGCTTACCAAAAAATCTCTGAAGAAAATTAGTAAAAATATAATGTTTTGAGTCCATGAGAAGAAAAAAGACAAGGATGAAAAAATGAATGGAAATTCATGTTCATTGTCAATCACTGACAATGTCATTTTGAGGTTTGGATTGTATCACATTTAAAAAATGGTTAAAATGACATATCCTATACATCTCTTGTTCATACAGCATGGAAAAAAATCACTGAATAAGAAAAGAGGATGTTTCAGTACATGCAAAGAAAATAGCAAGGATGGTAAAATTATTTGAGATCAGAAATACCTCATGTTGAATTGTGGAAAGGAGCAGCATACTGAAGAAAAAGTGCCTGGGCATATAGGATATACAATTTGCCTTAGAGAGGAGTTATTCTACTCCCATGGGAGCTTGCTCTCATATCATGTAACTCTACGCAACTTTTGATCATACATCACAGTAGCAATATAAAAAAATATTCCTCTTTCCTGAGGCTTTTTTTTTTCAGTCAGTATGCTTCTTGCTCCTAATGCAGAATCAATAATAGTGATGAAGGAAACATCACCTTCCTGAGACAAAATCATCTCACCTTCAAGAGAAGGTCTTCTTGTAAGCCATTGAGCGAGCTGAAAATACTGTTCAACAGTGAGATTAAAACCAAAGCCAAAATCCATGTGTTTAAAATAGTGTTAAGTAGTGGAATTGAGCTCGTGAAAGCATGGCTCTCCCCTTTGATAATGTATTTTCAGATTCCTTGATGTTGAAGAAAGTGGCATTCATCTCTGCTAGACCTTGCCCATGAGGGGATTTCAAACTTTCCAGGGTGACGCGAAAGAAATGCTTCATTCGTCTTCCCATGATCCCATATTCCAAATCAAATTTTGTTTGGTTATATTGATTGCTTGAAGACATTGCAGCCTTCAAGTTTTTTTCACATTGCCAACCCATGAATGTGACTTTTCTTGGAACATAAGGAAAAGCAAACTCTGCAAAACAATAGAAGTCACAAACATTGTCACACTTTTGGAGATTAGAAAATTCTTTTGAAAGGCCAGTGAGATCTTGATTATAATTTCTGTCTGAATTTCTATTGACATTTGGTCAAGTTTGAAAGGTTTTAAATTCTTGAATATATTATTTACACCAATTGTTATATCATTGATATTTTCAGCACCAAAAACTTCACACACATTAACAATAGTTGTTTTTCTTTGGCACTGAAATTGGATTTTTTCATTTTTACAGATAGTCTTAACTTCTTCATTAAATCTGTCATCCATTTACCTCCAAACAAGTTTTGTGTTGCAACTAGTACTTTCTTGATGTCTTCAGGTTTCATATGTTTCATTTTTTGTGGATGAGCTTGTAGCTCCTTGTTGATATGAAGAAGTCCTGATGCTCTGAATCTCAATGTTGTATTGTATTCATGGAATGCACCTTTTAATGAGTTGATGCTTTCAAAAAATTCTTTGTTGGCTATATTGATTTTGCTTGAAGACATTGCAGCCTTCAAATCTTTTTACATTGCCAACCCATGAAAGTGACTTTTCTTGGAACAAAGTGAAAGCAAACTGCAAAACAGAAAGAGTCACCAACATACACCCAAATACTGCAAGGCAGTGGTAAAACAGTTTGGTAATGCCAAGGTAAACCATCTTGAAAATTTACTGCAAAATTTTTCTGAAGATCACTCAACCACTTGCTGGTCACAAGCCACAAGGACTGGAGAAACAGGAGTAGGCTTGCCTGCCACAAACCACCTGCCCAATTCAACGGATATGGTGAGTGTAGCTCTGAATCAAAGCTTCCTTTAGCACCTTAGCCCAGATATGCCAAACATTCTCTGTAGGACAGCATGTAGAAATACAATGAAAATTTCTCTAATGGTTCACGTGTCAGTGTCAGCCCGATAAAGAGTTCCAGCCAGAAGTATAGGTTTTTTGACGAATTTAGGCAAAAGTCCTTTCAAATTCTGCAGCAGTTATTTCAATTTCGGCAGCGCTCCTCTCCCGATTTTCCCATTTAGTTTCGGTAGTGCAAGGGAATCTCGTTTTTGGTTATTGATATGGGTATGAGGAATAGGGAAGGAAAGGGCACAAACACAAGGGGTATTTTTTGGCAAATAATCATTCTATAATACTAAGGAAGACACATGGTCATTTACACTGATTCTTTCTATCGATACGTTCTCCTTATGGATCTGATCAAGCATGTTTGTGCTTGAATTACACCTACCTCTCACTCTGTGAGAGGTAGGTATAATTCTGTAGTGAAAAACACTCAATGACCTTCAAATTGAAGCCTTGCTCCAAAACTTTGTGGCATTCAATTAGAAAACATCAACAATGGTATACACTTGCTGTGAATCAACTTATTGGGTTGGCCGGAAAGTTCTTGCAGTTTTCGCCTTTTCTCATTAGGAAGCCTCACGAATTTTCTAGAATTTTCCCGCTTCACCTATAAATAGTCTCCCTTTTTTTGCGTGCAGGTTCAGTGTATCTTCGATCCCTTACCGCCAAGTATGAGCCAGAAGTTCGACCTTGACCGTGACCACCTCCACACCTGCCTCCTCTGAGTTCCGTCTGGGAGAGAAGGCAGCCGACGCCCATCGCCGTCTGTGCCTGGCGTTTGGGGAAGGAGTCATCAGCGAGAAGACGTGCTTCAATTGGTTCGCTCGCTTCAATTCCGGAAACTATAGGGTTGAAGACAAGCCGAGGTCGGGACGTCCGTCGGAGTTGGATGATGAGGCGCTACTACAACTCTTAGAAGCCGATCCTCGCATGACCACTCGCGACATGTCCGCCGTCCTCGGGTTCTCCCACTCCACCATCGAACACCGCCTGTCAACGATCGGGAAGGTCTCGAAGCTCGGGAGTTGGATACCACATGCTTTGACAGAGAAGGACCTCGACCAGCGTTCCAACACCTGTGCACTTCTCTCCCGCCGACGTCGCTTCGACTGGCTCGACGACTTTGTCACGGGGGATGAGAAGTGGGTGATGTACGCAAACCATACCCGCAAACGTCAGTGGGTAGACGCCGATGAAGAGCCGCAGCCGGAGCCGAAAGGTGATGCTCTCCGTATAGTGGGATGTGAAAGGTGTCGTAATGTTCGAGTTGCTTCCTCCCAACACCACCATCACGGCGGTCTACTACTGCGACCAACTGGAGAGATCGAGCCAGAAACTCTCAACGGCTCGGCCAGGACGTGATGAAGTGCTGTTCCTCCACGACGATGCCCGGCCGCATACCGCAAAAATGACCCGGCTCAAACTCCTCGCCCTTGGATGGGAGATTCTGCCGCACCCACTGTACTCCCCAGACCTTCGTCGGACGACTACTTTTTCCGCGCCCTGCAGAACCGCCTCAAAGAGAAAAAGTTCGACGACCAGAAAGACCTCGAATGCTACTTGCGACAGTTCTTTGGGTCTCAACCCCCATCGTTCTCCACCTTCCAGCCAAGGAAATGGATTCCCTGGTTGGAAGGTGGAGACATGTAGTGGAACACAATGGTGCTTACATTGTTGACTGATATTGTATAGTTGCTGAATAAAATTGTTTTCTCAAATATTGTCTGAAACTGCAAGAACTTTCTGCCCAACCCAACCAATAGAAGCAGCAATGTGGTCTCACATGCTGCCTAATGCCAGTTCAGAGAGAATATTCACTCAAACCAGGCTGCACTTCTTTACTGACCTCTGACTGGTGATGAAACTACTCCAGATGCTGGTTTTGAGGTAGATTTTTCCTGTTTCCAAGAATGAAGACCAATACTGGTTATTTCACTCTGACAACCCTGCTTGATGACCTCATGGGAATAGTGTCACTTATGACCTTCCATACCTGGTAATGTAATGTGATGGTTGAATTAGAAGCAAAGTTGAGAAGCTTATTTTTATTTTTTCACATGAATGTTTGTTTTGGGTACCCCCATGATGGCAATCAAGATATGACTATAAATGAGCTGCTAATTTTGTCTAACTCCAATTTAGTGCCTACTTTGCCAGTGAAATCTTTGAAGATATACAAGATAGAGCACAAACAGGAGAAAAAAAAAAATTTCAGATATTAAGGAAAGAATGGATCAGCAAAAGTTCTGAGCAAGAAAGCTCTTGTTCATGTATCCATTCATGTTATGCTCATATGCACATCCACATCCTTTACAGAGTCCTTAAGTATTATCAAAGGGAGCTATGTATTGAGGAACATGAGTGAATTACATGAGAGTTCCCAATTGATTGCACAGCGACAACTTGGAGTTTTTAAAATCATAATTACTGAACTAAAAACAGTTCTTCTGTCACCTTGTGAAGAGCTCAATAATGCATTTCAGTTCATCATGGATTTTCATTCCAGTTGTGGCAGATTCTAACAACAATGAACATATTAAAGATATACAGAGGAAGGGGCACCCACTTGGCATGGACACTACACATCAAAATCACAGTCTGGGATACCCCTCAATCATCCTGTAGGAGTCCTAGGGGCAGCTCAAAGGTTGTCCTGCCCATGACTGGATTTTAAGGTGTCCTACAACTGTATCCTAGATGTAGCACACTGAGAGGAGCATGTATTATCTCATCATAAGCATATTATTCCCATGAAGGTAGGTGAGATGCCTGTTAGTAGAGGAAGGGCCTACTGCCACCTGGACTTTATCCGTCACCTCCCAGATTTCACTTATCTAAGGAAAGTAACACAAATCATAGATTGCTTACCACAATGCATACAAAAAGATTTCAAATTTCACAAAAAGGAAATGCATGGAGGCAAAGAACAAGGTAGTCAATAAATATTACATGCTAATGAGGTCCTGAAGGGCACTTGAATATATCCTCCAAGACACAATTTATTTCACTTTTGCTGAATACACAAAGATGGGTACTTTCAGTTAAGTGGTTGTAGCTGGGATTGCATTCTCTCTTTCAGAAAAACAATTTTCAATTTTTTCTGTCTCCAGTAAAGAATTCTGTCTGGATTTATTTCATTTTTTGCTGAGAATAAGTTGTACAGATGAACATATCCTGTATATTACATTCTTGTGATAGTTGCTGGATGAAAATCACATATTGCAAGAAGCAAGCTGAAAATGATTTCAGTTTCATTTTTTGTGGATGAGCTTGTAGCTCCTTGTTGATATGAAGAAGTCCTGATGCTCTGAATCTCAATGTTGTATTGTATTCATGGAATGCACCTTTTAATGAGTTGATGCTTTCAAAAAATTCATCCTTGTTGCAAATTTTCAGAATCCCAGTTTTGGCAATGCTATAAATACTACTTTCACCTTATGTGGGTTGCGTCAATTCATGAAATGATAATTTTTTGTCACAATTTACGTTAACTCAAACAACTCAAAATTCTCAATCACTTCATTCTTGATTTTTCCTATAATTTGAAAAGTGTCTTTCATGTATTTCATGGTGAAAGTAAAAAGGAAAACTGATGTACCCAACAGGAGGCATTCAGGGGGTGCAACAGTTCTCCTTTACCATTGGTGGAGATGATGGCGAATCCAGAGACAACCCCAAATCCATTCGTTATGAGTGATGTCGCAGCAACAGATGTGATTGCAGCACAACCTTGCTTTCCAAGGACTCCACCTTTCATTGCCCTTTCTTGCATTGTGAGGAAGGCCAGTTTTGTTAGCATGGCAAATGTGTACCCAAATACTGCAAGGCAGTGGTAAAACAGTTTGGTATGCCAAGGTAAACCATCTTGAAAATTTACTGCAAAATTTTTATGAAGATCACTCAACCATTTGCTGGTCACAAGCCACAAGGACTGGAGAAACAGGAGTAGGCTTGCCTGCCACAAACTACCTGCCCAATTCAACAGATATGGTGAGTCTAGCACTGAATCAAAGCTTCTCCATCACCTTAACCTAGATATGCCTGACAAGGTGCCAATTAGGTATTCATTTAGGGATTATCAGTTTGTTCATCTTGCATCATATTCATCTTTCTCTTCCCTTGGAACTCTACTATCTTTTACTCAGCAGCTGAAACAATATCAGGCACTTTGGCCTCTGGATATTTTGCTAGTACAGCTGCTGCCATGGAACATGGTTTTATAGGTTGACAAGAAAGCCTGTACTTGACAAAAATGTTGACTACTGTTAGGTTATGTTAGGCCGGTTTGCTCATATACTTATGCATAAAAATCACGTTTCAACCAGGTACATTAATATGCAGGAGTTCATCACTCAAACTTGATTATTCTTGCCTCTCCATGTTCAGCAAACAGTTGAAACCTGCCTTATTAATGGTTCCCATACTCTAATGTGCAATTTCTCGAGCATTCTGTAAAACACCATCACCACCACTGGAGCTTGTTTCAGATTCGGTTTTTGAAAGAACTGTTATATATTGTCCACAAGAAACCTTTACAACTTTGATTACTCATAAATTTTTAATACGGTAAGATAAAATGTTATGGTAGGAATGTTTCTATATAAAGATAGCAACCCCTTTTTTACTGCAGGATTAAATAAGAATTGATAAAGATGACAACTACCCATGAAAAGGCCCAATGTGTAGCCTGGTTTATAGAAACCAAATCAGACACTCTAGTTCAACTAAATTTTCGTACTAAATACGGCAAGAATCCGCCATCATGTACATCCATTCGAAAATGGCACACCTCATTTATGGAGACAGGAAGTGTCCTTCGAAAGCCAGGCTCAGGCCGTGCAGGCCCTAGTCCTGAAAATGTTGAACGTGTACGACGTGCCTACGAACGTAGTCCACAAAAATCTATACTAAAATGTGCAAAGGAGTTGCATCTCCCTCAATCAAATGTCCACAAGGCAAGTCTGACCTGTCTGATTCGTGACCTCTAGAGCAGCGGTTCCCAGACTTCTTTGAATCGCGACCCACAGGAATGCAGAACGAGGTATTTTCAAAGTAATTATGGCGTGAAGAAAACTGATCGACCTTTCCTGTAGGGTATGTTAATCCTGAGCGGATGCGGATATAGTGGTTTTTTTTTTATACTGGGAAAATGTACGCGACCCACCTTGATGCCTCTCGCGACCCACAGTTTGGGAACCGCTGCTCCAGAGCACCCTCTTCTGCGGCCTCTAAAGAGTCACTACAGTCATTCCGCTGTCGGATCTCGTTTCCCGTCATTAATTGTGCCCTATCGTTCACCTTCAATATATCTGCAGGCCTATAAATTCCCCTACCCCCATTCAAGTTTCAATTGCAGAATAAATCTTGTTCTTGAACTGCCACTGCTTTTATTGCGATGTTCACGCATAACATATCTCACCTATCTCTCTTTTCCTTAAAAAAAAAAAAAACTATCACCCTTTGCATCCTCTGTAGATTAAAAACCATAAACCTCTCATTCGCTGCACCTTTTATTTCCAGAAATTGTTAAATGCTGAGGTTTTGCATAGGAACAGGGTCGGACTGGCGGCCTAGAGGCCCACCCCTTTCCCATTAATCATTTTTATTGTTTTACACGATTTGGTAATGCTCATGGAATCAATATAAATATATGGTGAATGGTTGCAATTAATGTTCATTATAATTCAACTTAATATTTAAAAAAAATAAGGTTTGGAGCCCCTCCGGTATCTCGGTGGGCCAGTCTGACACGAACAGGAATGAAAATTGTCTAAGGGGGTATATGTTTATTGTAGCTTTAGTTGCTAAGGGAGCCGCTGTCCCTCATTTTACTCGTTCGTTAAAGCTTGTGTGCTTGATAGAAACCTTTGTTTTTCTCAGAAAACTTTTGGTAAAACAACCAAAGTTTTTGTGTGCAACCTATCAGCAAAATGAGTTTCTGACACACTGAGGAACCTTCAGGATGTCTGTTTCGCCACGTATCAAATTGTGAAACCATCTGTATACGTTTCAGATACGCACATAACGTCCTATTTCATTTGCTTCCCTGGAAGAGAACTTATGGGAAACATTCTGTTCCAGCAAAAAATGAATGAGAACAAAATTATGCTACGAATAAACTCGAGCGATCTGCGGATAATGAAAATGCCTTAAATCAAGAGAGGTTTTATATCACTTGAGATCACACGATCGGCGAATACACACGTTTCAGATGAATATTGCATTTGCTATTATTTACTACTACTTTTTCCTGGAGCGCCGTAGGTGCAACCATTGCGAGCTTTTGCATAAAGGCTATATAAACTCGCCTGTAGGTCATCATAAAGTGGTGGAAAAGACATCCATATAAAAGACAAAGGCAAAAAAGAAGACTCAGCCGAAAAAATCACTGCTTTTTCTGTTTTGATTTTTTTTTCCGAAACTTGAACCGAGCATCGGAAGATATGTTCCCCAGTGATGGGCGGGACCTGTATTATGACATGTATTAGCGCCGCCACTAATAGGGTCAATAGTTAATGTACTGGCAGCGCCCGTAACGCATGCACTATTGGGCACCGGAGGTCTTTTTGCGACTTTTGACCTCGTACCCGCTTTACCAAGTGACCTAGTTTCACGAAACTTTCTGGATAAGATGTTCCTGCTGGGAAGTTTCAAGGATATGAACAGAATGGAAACGCCGGTACTCACCACTACATCTGAGTGATTTTGATATTTCCCCGCTAATTTCAACATTTGACCTCGAATGGTCATCATCAGAGATGAAACACCTAGGCGAAAATGTACCTCCATATCTCAGGGCTATTCAGTTAAAAAATCAGCGAGATCGGTCCATAAGTTTCCTGTTGATGGTGGCGTCTATAGTACAGTATATGCATTATGGACAACCGGAGGTCATTTTTGTGACGTTTCGCCTCGCATCTGCTTTACCCCTTCACCTAGGTTCACAAAACTTATTGGACATGAAGATACACATGCTGGGAAGTTTTTGATGCAGTTTCAACCATACCAACTGGTTAGGAACGCCATTACATAAGTTTAAGTGTAGACGGTTTTGACATTTTTTCGGTATTTTTGACATTTGACCTCGAATGGGGGTACTCAGAAGTCATATCCCAGGCTTAAAATAAACCTCGATATCTCAGGAATATTCAGTGAAAATTTCATTGAAAACAGTTTATAACTTCTGTCTAAGGTGGAGTTAAAAATACCTAAGGTGGAGTTAAAAATACCTATCATTTTGATCCCTTTGGCCTCGTATCTCACGAACGGGGTCGAGTTCGACTTGGCATCCACCCAAGCATTACAGCCCAAAACCCACGTATTCGGCCCAGCATGGATGCCTGCTTGTGACACTCCATGTCAGTAGAAATTTCACCCCTTAGCTGGTCGTCTACTCGGAAACAATCGGGAGTTTTGGTCACCCGCCCTCGAGCGGACGGCATAGGATATAGAACTGGTGGCGTCATCGATGACGTCACCAGCAGTTTTAAAAACGCGTGAAAAACGCCTAGTGACGCGTTCACGCCCCCATCCACCCCGAAGACGGGTAATGAAACCACTCCAATGCGAAACAGACACGAGGCATGGACTCGAACTGCGAAGAGGAAAAACCATCGTCGGCCTGGACCTATCATCGCCAATACTGCTCCCCGTGCTTGGAGCAGTAACATGGTGTGATCGGACACGAGTTCATCGTCGGAGAACATTATACATTTTTGAACAGACGCCTCCCCTTCCCCCCTGTTTCACGTCGGGGGAAATCCTAACTAACTGGACTGTGTGGTGGGCCTGAATGCTTCGGTCGGTCGGTGAGAGGATTTCTTCATTTATAATAATGCCTCGCGCTCGGAAGACAGCATTACTAAATCATACGAAGCAAGACGCAAGTTCAATTTCGTTACTAAAGAATTCCATTCCAGTGATGTAAGAAACGCGAAGTTGAGTCGTCACGCGGAGCAGTGGTTTTTTTTAAATTACTTTTTAACCTTTTTAACTTGCGGACTCCCTTCGCTATCGCATAAATTTGTAGGCTTCCAAAACTTTTGCAAGGTGAAAATATTTTTTAATTTTACCCGAAAGGTACACACTTTTTAATTTTAAATTTACATTTAGTTTTGGGCGTAATTCCTTTTTTTTTTCTTGCTTGCGCACAGTTTCGAGGACCCCCTGGAGCGCCCCACGCGGAACTCCCAGTCAAGAAACGCCGATGCGAGCGATCTTTCAAGTGTTGTTGCCCTTGAGTTCAACCACCGCCCCCCTCCTCCACCCACCTCCACCCCTCCTCCACCCCCTCCTCCACCCCCTCCTCCACCCCCTCCTCCACCCCCTCCTCCAACCCATCGCCTGAGAATCATTGCAGATGAGGGGAGAGATTGACCTTCGCTTTCGTCGCGGGGACGAGCGAGAAAGTTCATATGCGTCGCAGATGCAGGGGAAAAAAATATAGACGAGGGAATTTTAATGAGGACGAAGCGAGACTCCAAAGTGGTTATGGCTTTTCGAAAGGTTCACATACAGACCCCCATATATGGTGCTATGTTTGCAATGTATATGAAACTAATATAAATAATACGCAAAAAAAATACTGTATTTGGAATATATTTGAAAACTGTTCAGTCCGTATCATGCTTG